GCTCGTATCAAGGAGCCTTGATTTGACTTGGATATGTAGATAGTTTATGCTCGTATCAAGGAGCCTTGATTTGACTTGGATATATAGATAGTTTATGCTCGTATCAAGGAGCCTTGACTTGACTTGGATATATAGATAGTTTATGCTCGTATCGAGGAGCCTTGACTTGACTTTGATATATAGATAGTTTATGCTCGTATCGAGGAGCCTTGACTTGACTTGGATATATAGATAGTTTATGCTCGTATCGAGGAGCCTTGACTTGATTGGGATATGTAGATAGTTTATGCTCGTATCGAGGAGCCTTGACTTGATTTGGATATGTAGATAGTTTATGCTCGTATCAAGGAGCCTTGATTTGACTTGGATATGTAGATAGTTTATGCTCGTATCAAAGAGCCTTCTCGTTTTCAACTGGTTGTTGCTTTGTGGATGTCTCGACTTCGTCTTGAACCTCTATCTGATTCTCCACAGCTTGACTAGCATCGGCTTTGTCCATCTTGTTGATCATCTCGGCAATTTGAGAATCTCGTTGTTGAACATGCTTTGCGAGTCCCTCAATGGCCTTTGTCAAACTTGCAAGTTGCTCCTCCATGGTTGTAGCGTTTGTTGTCATGACGGATGCCACCTCTGAGTAGCTTGATGTTGAATGAGGCCAAAATTTGTAGCAACAAAATCTTATCTGCGATTTAGAAAAACAAGAAAAACTTGCACAAAAATAATTTTATTGAATTAAAAATAAATATTGCGGGTTACAAACTCTAATTTAATCCTCTGATTCTTCTCTCAAGAACAATATATGTTAACTTTTAATTTCGAAGTCGGGTCGTTGACTTGATCTTCTCCGGATTTGATTTTGAACTTGAATAACGTTTTCCGAGGGTCTTGCGACTTGAATCTCGGATCGAACGCTGAACTTTGACGGGTTTTGACTTGAAGATCTTGGAGTTCTTGATGGATTTGGCCCTTCAATCTTCCTTCGATCTTGATTTGTTGAACTTTGACGGGTTTTGACGGGTTTTGACTTGAAGATCTTGGAGTTCTTGATGGATTTGGCCCTTCAATCTTCCTTCGATCTTGATTTGTTGAAGAACGCCCTCGATTCGATGAAGAACGCATTGAATTTGATGAAGAACGACTTGAATTTGATGAAGAACGACTTGAATATTGTAGAGAGAAATTTCTCCTACGATTTTTCTTCTTCTTGAGTTGTCTTAAAAAGTTGGGCAATATGTGGAAAAATTGCAAATCTGAGGTTAAAAGAACTTATTATTCTATACATGAGACTGATGCTGAGCGATTAGCTAATTGTCCCGACATTGTTGAAGAAGATCAGTGGCCAACTTTAGTTCATCATTGGAGTTCTAAAAGTGCAGAGGTTTGATGATTTCATATTATTGTTTAAAAAATAATATCCAACATTTAACCTATTTTTATTATTTTCTATGCAGTGCCTTAGTGATAAAAACTCTCTGAATCGAGGAAAGCAACAAGTGCCACATAGAACTGGAAAAAAAAGTTATGCAGTTGTTAGGAATGAGGTACCGAGCTTTTTTTTAATTTGTAATAGATAAATATGTTTTGTAGTAAGTATTACTTCTTTGACTTATGCTACTCAGATGCAATACATATAGCTCTCTTTTATTTTGTTTCATTTTTCAGATGCAAATAGAAAATGGCAAAGATCCTACTGATTACGACTTTTGGATGGCAACACATGTTGGTTTGGCCAAGACACCACCTCATAGAAAGACATCTAAATTCATCGTATGTATTATGTTATTTCAATTCGATGTTTACGGCTTTTAGTTATACAGTTCTAATTTCATCATTTTGTACAGAAAAATCTTAGACAAATGATTTCAAAAAATCCAGAGGGCTTGAAATCAAAAGAAATGAGAGATCAACTTTTAGCTCAATTTTTTGGTCCAAAAAAAGCCAGGGCAGATGAGAAAAATATGGCTTTAGCCCAATACCTACTCAAGTGAGTTCATTAAAAAATCAAACGAAACTTGTTGAGGAAAAAGTTTCTATCCTTGTGGATTCCATTCGGAAGGGATTAAAGGAAGAGATAGAATCTGGCTTGCGTAGCATAATCGAAGAAACAGTGCAAGATGTTATACGATCTCTCACAAGAACAAACTCTTTGGCTCCTGAATCTGCTGCAGTTTCAGCTCCTTCCACGTCTAGACGGGTAATTATTTTACTTGGAAATTGTATTTTGCAAATGTATGTAGTAATTAATATTTTTGCATACATCAAATTCCTACAGGATCGTAGAATTCCTACATCGTCTAATTTGCACTATGAAGGAGGCACTCAACCACATAAATCAGTCCCGGAGTCTTCAAGTATACATCATATGCCATCAACTCATACACAATGCGCTCATGCACTCTCTGGGTCATCTAGCATGCCTCATATACCAGCCCATGTTCAAGAAACTCAGGTTCAAGAAACTCAAACTCAAGAATTAAGTGCGAATGACGTGTGTAAAAGGAAATCGCAAAAAAGGTAAACTTTTGCTAGCTAAATTTTCTTCAGAAATACTTATTTTTCATTACTTGATTTTAAGTAGTCCTTGTTGAAATTTGGATTTGTAAATTTGGATTTTTTATTTTTCAGAAATTTTCGAAGTGTTTGGCAGCGATAGAAGATTGTTAAAATGTGAGCTATTGAGGTGGCTGGAGTCTTTTGTTCAAATTCAGATAAACCTTCAATTGTAAATTTTATTAAAATTTGTCTATATTTTGTGAAATTCAGATAAACCAGCATATGTTTGGAAATTGAAATATATATTTTGTTATCTTAAGATGTAAATACTTATTTAGTATTTGGAAATTGAAATATATATTTTGTTATCTTAAGATGTAAATACTTATTTAGTATTGGCAAGTTAATTTTTGTTGTCTTCGATTTTTTATATTCAACAATTGATGGCAACGAGATTAAGGGAAAAATTGGATTACAATTGGCAGAAACAGAAGAGTTCTAAAAAATGTACAAGTATTCTCGACGGTTATTTAAGCGTCGGAAAAAACATTCCCGACGGTTTTTTTACACATAAACCTTTATACGACGCCTTTTTTTCTCGACGGTCTCCTGACGGTGTAAAACCGTCGGGAAAACTATTCCCGACGGTTTGTAAGTCTTTCCCGACGGTTTTCTTGCGTCGCTTAAAGCCATATATGTTGTAGTGAGTTCACATCACCATCAATCTCGTTTCTCACTTTTCTTACATGGTTAGAATTTCTCGTATAGTTTTCTCATAATTCATCATAAAATTATTCAATATCATTGCCGCTTTAAGAGCTTCCATTCGATAAACGAACTCTATTAGACATTGAAATATGGTACAATGAATAATATATACGTAAAAAATAAAAAAAAATAGAATTTGTTGAAAATAATAATTTCATAAATTAATAAGTTATTAATTAATGCATTAATTAATAATTATTAATTTATCGATAAGTTATTTTCGCTAAATTAATAGAATTTTGATGGTCCCAACTGTATTGATTTATAGAGATTTAAGTGTATACTATATATAAAAGTGTGAATGCTAGGTGGTTTCTTCCATTTTATGTATGGGAAAAAATGCCCTTTTAAATAATTAAAATTTCAAGGTCAATTAAGTAAATTATGTGATAATTAAATAATTCATTAATGCATGTTAAATACAATAATTATAATATCTGATTCATTGATTATTTAGATTTTTTTAAACAAAAAAATTGCAACCACAACAGTTTAAATTGGTGGGTAATCGTTGGTTGAACCAATACCCGATTTGTGAAATTGTGTTTTGAAATCATAATGAAACTCTTAAATTTAAGGGTAGATTAATGGTCTTGTACTTTTGAATCGTGAATGCCGGTCGATTCTGACCTGTGAAACCGTTGGTTCACGACAGTGATCGTATCTCCATCCAATTTTCATTTATGTTTAATTTTTCATTAATATTCATTTGTCATTTGTTGTAAAATAAAAAGTATATATATATATTAAACAATCAAGATTGAATGAGACAACTCGAACTGAAAGTAATCATAAGAACAAAAAGATTCTAATTAAAAAAAAAAAAATCACTACACACATGGTATTTGAAGTTACGAAGAGGATAAATAATTACTGGAATAACCTTAGAAGAAATAAATATTGTAAAATAAATATATAGTTTATGTATATCAATATTAAATAAAATCATATTCTATTTTTTAATATTTCAATATATACATAAATTAATAGAGACACGCAACCTACGTCACATCTTTCTAGTATTAATGTATGAAATTTATCTATTTTACAATAACTAATAAATAATTTTGGGATTATATTTTATTCAAAAGAATTATCAATTTCACATAATATTACTTTAACAAAATTATAACGGCCATATATAAATTAAAATAAATAGAAAAACTAATACAACGCGTGCAATGCACGCGCACCTCTCTAGTATATATATATATATATATATATATATATATATATATATATATATATATATATATATATATATATATATATATATATATATATATATATATATATATATATATATATATATATATATATATATATATATATATATATATATATATATATATATATATATATATATATATATATATATATATATATATAT